CTGGACGGGAGTTTGCGGGAGGGGAGCCAGACTTGACTGGGGGAGTGGGAGGTCTGTGCAGGTATGCAAGGTCCGACTTGGGGATAGGGCTCTAGACAGGGGTGGGGTATCCCACTTCTGGTGGGGATCCAGGCTTCCAGGGTGGGGGGCCTGTGTCTGGGGAAGGGCTGTGACCTGGAGACCGGATTGCAGAGTCAGGTCCTGACTCCCCGTGAGAGGGTCACCCTTGGTCTTTGAGCTGGGGTGGGAACCTTGGGTGTGGTAGGATAGTGAGGGCCCAGGCCCAGAGGGGCTCAGTGATATTCCCAACAGGTTCTCTCTTGGAGGCCTTGGGGCACCCCCAGGCCTTTCCTTTCAGGGGAATAGCTGCCCCACCAGGGAGGCAATGACAGTAGCCCAAGACCCATCAGGGTCGGGTCTGGGTGGTTTGGCCTCATTGCACCACCAAGAGAAAGGGGAAGGCACCCCAGGCCTGACCTGCTAACGTTGTGGTTTTTCCAGCCAGGCACTTTTGCGTCCTTTGCCTGAGACTGAGCTCCCCTGGGTGCCTGGCTGGAGCTGACTGTGAACCCAGTTTATGAGTCCTGAAGGCAGACAGTTGAGAAGAGCTCTTAAGGGCCTGTAGGTGGTGGAGTGAGGATGGCGGTGGCAAGCCAGTGGATTCTGGGTTTGTAGTTTGAGTGTTTGGGGTTGATGGCGCGGACATCAGTGCTACCAGCAAGGTTATATCCTGGAGCAGGACCTGGAAAATAAGGGAGTTCCCATGGACTTTCTGAGTGGGACATGCAGCAGCAGCTCCAGGGGCAGAGACTGCCGGTACGTGATTTGTTGTGGTGATGAGTTCTTTAAAATTTATATCAAGTTGTGGGGCTCTTTTAGATCCTGGAGGAAAAGAGGCAGCAATAGCACAACCTGCACCCCAGTAAGGGTCTGGGCAGTTAAGTTTTAGTTCTTAGCGATGCCAAGTCGGGAGGGAGGAAAATGGAAACATCAGTTTGGAGTGTTGGAGCCAGCTATTGAAGGAAACTAGAAATGATTTGGTAAAGGCTGACAATATGCGTAAGGTGGCAGGATCCCACCCAGTTCATAGGTAGATGATTAAACCTCAAAGACAGTAACAGGACTGGAACCTGATAACCCACAGGACATGTTCTTTTTCTCTACTGCGAAATTTCTCTCTACAGTCACTTTTCTGTTTGATCAAAGATAAGTAGAGTAATTATTCTTGTTTAATATAATTCTGCTCTCATTAAATTTGGCCTGACTTATTTATATAAAGCTGTCGACGTGAGAAATGTCCAAACGAACCTGTAGAGAATTGTTATGAGTTTATTTGAGCCAAACTGCCAACTGCAAAATCTCAATGGCTTGAGAAGGTGCTCCTGAGAATGGCAGTTTTGCAGCTTATTTTATACATTAGAATCAAAGGAGGAGGCATAGGAGGGTTACATGGACTTCATTAGTGATAGACTAAGGGGGGCAGAGAAAGCAAAGTGGGAAGGGGGGGAAATATCTGGGGTTGGATAAAACAACGGAGAGACAAATACTTCTTTTACATTGGTGGTTACAGGATAGTTATAATTAACATTTACATTATATAGAGAGGGTAGGTGGGGAAGAACATAACAGTGAGGGGTCCTGTGGTCTTGTGATTTGGTGCCCTGAGGGGGCTCAAGAAGAAGATACCTGACATTTCAAAAGTATGTTACCTTAGAGGCAAAAAAAAAAAAATAGGATCACAAGGTAAAGATTAACCTTTGCCAAGGAAGCTACAGGCCTTGACTACCCACCATGACTCACTTTTAGGAATTTTTATGTTCAGACCATCCTACATGGTTACTTCCCATCTCTGAATTTGGAAGGCCTACCATGCAGGCCCCCCCTGAGCTTGTCAGGTTTTGTATGTGGGACCTTTGCAAAGGGGCCAAAGGCATTTCTAGTGACCTTTTACAAGGGTTTAAAATGAGCCTAGGAGCCAAGTCATATAGTTAGTTCATCTTTTTAAAGAATTTTTAAGAGTCTCAGTAACATCCACTGATGCTTTACTTGCAATATATTTATGAAAAACGTTTCCATTTCCTTTAAGGAAAGATGAATGTCATCTAAGATGTGTGAAAACAAATACTGACTAGCTGACAAAGTGATCCCCAGCCTCAGGAGCCCATGAGCCAGGAGGGGCAGACTTGCAGGGTGAGTGGAGTCCCCCACTTGCAGATGTTGGGGAGCTGGGCATTGGTGAAGTTTAACTGTGCGCCAAGCTGGATGTGGCCAAGCACTTTTGTCACAAAGGATTATGGAGCTAAATGTCCAGGGGTTGATGGCTCTGGGTGTCAGTGGCCCATCTGCCTGCCGCCTACCTACACCTGAGGCTGGCCAGGGGCTTGGCCCAGCTGCCAACTGTCTTGATCGCACCCTTTGGGTCTCAAGGTGGATTATTGGTGATCATAGTTGATGGAGCTTATGGTTTGGGTGTTGCAGGGAGAATACTTAAGAATGGGTTTATATAAGGAAAGTTTTTTTGGGTGGCGTGTTACTGTGTTTTGGGGAAAGAGGGTCTGTCCCTCGCCCATGTCTGTATGCTGTCTATGAGGAGATATATGCTGGATGCACACACTGGCCATGTAGAAAGGGAGCATGTGGGGTGGGCAAATTTTGGTCAGGAAGACCCCTTCTGCTGCCTCCAAGAAGGGAGATGAGCTTGCACCCAGGGAGGCAGGTGTCCCTCTAGGTGTCCGTGCAGGCCCTGCTGAATGAGGTCTGGATCAGCAGGCAGACAGCAGGCCTGCAGAGAGGCATTCCTGAGTGCCTGGGTCCCCCAGGGAGAGGGGAGCTGGGCTGTTTTTCTAGATCCTGCTTCCTTATGGGGAATGGCATGTCCTCTTCCCTTTTTGGAACAGGGAATGCCAGAAGCAGGGCTGCTTGTGCTATTGTTTTCATTGTTTTCTTTTTACTGTAGTAAAACATACATAATTTAAAATTTGCCATTTTCACACTTCCAAGTGTGTAAATCAATGGCATTGTATAACCATTGCCACTATTTCCACACCTTTTCCATCATCCCAAACAGAAACCCTGTACCCATTCAGCAGTAATTTCCCCTCTCCCCAGCAACCTTTATTCTACTTTGTCTCTATGGAATTGCCTATTGTAGGTATTTCATATAAGTGGAATCATACAATATTTATCCTTTTATGTCTGGCTTATTTCACTTAGCATACTGTCTTTTTTTAAAAATCCTCACCCTAGGGGTTGGTGGAGAGAAACATCAGTCAATTGCCTTCTGTACGTGCCCCGACTGGGGATCGAACCTGCAACCCAGGTATGTACCCTGACTGGGAATCGCACCAACAACCTTTTGGTGCCTGAGACGACACTCCAACCTACTGAACCACCTCTGCTGGTCACATAATGTCATGAAGGTTCATCCATGTAGTAGCATGTATCAGTGCTTCATTCATTTTAATAACTAAATAATATTCCATTGTACGGATAGACCACATTTTGTTACCCATTCATCGACTGAAGGACACTTGGATTATTTCTACACTTTGGCTGTTACATATAAAATGCTGCTATAAATATGGGTGAACAAGTATCCATTCAAGTCCCTGCTTTCAGTCATTTTGGGTATGCACCTAGGAATGGAATTGCTGGGTCATATGATAATTCTGTATTTAACATTTTCTAGGGCTGTCAGCAATGCATGAAGGTTCCAATTTCTCCACATCCTCACCAACACTTATTTTCCGTTTTTTGTTAATCCTCACTGGAGGATATTTTTTCCATTGCTTTTCCAGAGCAAGTAGAAGGGGGAGAGGAGAGAGAAAGAGAGAAACATCCATGTGAGAGAGACACATCGATTGGTTGCCTCCTGCACTCACCCTGGCCTGGGCCGGGGATCGAGCCTGCAACAGAGGTACATGCCCTTGGCTGTAATCGAACCCGGGACCCTTCAGTCCACGAGCAGACACTCTAACCACTGAGCCGAACCGACTAAGGCATTTTTATTTTTAAATACCCATCCTAATCAAGTAGTATCTCATTGTGGTTTTGATTTGCATGCCCCTGATAATTAATGATGTTGAGCATCTTTTCATGTACTTATCAGTCATTTGTATATCTTTGGAGAAATATCTATTCAAGTCCTTTGCCCATTTTCTAATTGGGTTTTTTGTTGTTGCATTGTAGGAGTTCATTATATATTCAGAATATTAAAATCTCATCAGGTATATAATTTGCAAACATGTTCTCCCATTCTGTGGGTTGTCCTTTGGCTTTCTTGAGTGGGTCCTCTGATGCCCAAAAGTTTTTAATTGTAATGGAAGTCTATTTATGTTTCTTTTGTTGCTTGTGCTTTTGATGTCATAGTCTAAGAATCTATTGCCAAATTCAGGGTCATGAAGGTTTACTACTGTATTTTTTTCTAAGAATTTTATAGTTTAAGCCACTGATTTTCAATCTTTTTCATCTCATGGCACACATAAACTAACTGCTCAAATTCTGCGGCAAACCAAAAAATATATACTTTTTGTCGATCTGACCAGAAAAAAACCACCAGAGTGTTCCTGGCACTCTGGTTAAAAAAATACCATTTGCCCTGGCCGGTGTGGCTCCGTGGTTAGAGCATCAACCAGCGGCAGATTGAAGGGTCCCAGGTTCGATTCTGGCCAAGGGCAGGTTTGATCCCCGGCCCCAGTCAGGGTGAGTGCAAGAGGCAACCAATTGATGTGTCTCTCTCACATCGATGTTTCTCTCTCTCCCTCCATCCCTTCCACTCTCTAAAAAAATTAATGGAAGAATATTCTCAGGTGAGGGAGGATTAACAATACAAAATAACAGAAAAGGCCCAGTATCTCACCACCCAAATGCACTACTAGTAATAATAGTAAGGATAAATAAAGCAACATAGGTGTATGGTTGGGAAGCACTAAGCACGCAGACAGGAGCACAGTGGAAAGTTACGGATCTTCAGGTGGAACAGGCCGCCCGCCACTGATTCCTGTCCGTCTGTGCCCTGGGAGACGCTCTGTCCTTGCCCACCCTGCCGTCTCCCCGTGTGATCCCCTCACCTGTGTGGCGTGTCCTGCCCGCGGGAGCCTTTCCCAGTGGGGCCTGGGAACTTCTGCAGAAAGATGCCTGATTCACAGTCTGTCAGTCTGGTGAGGCCCAGGGTCCCCCCCCACTGTGGTGCCAAGACCTGCACCTGGTTTCCTGTGCCTGCTCGGGGCTTCTGGCCTTCCCCTGTAAGCTCTATTATCTGCTGCAATGGCCCATTTTTCTCTTAACTTGTCTTTTTCTCACTGATTGGCATGTGCTGTTTGTAACTAGCACATACAAGTATGTCGCTTGGTCTAATGTTGCTTCCAAATTGATCATTGCTTTCCCGAGGCATAGGGCTTGGGCAGGAGGGTTGGACCTCTGCTCCTTGGCACTGGGGCACTTGGTTGACTCTGGAACCTTGGGCCCCCATCAGCACAGGGAGGAGAATGGTAGCACCAACAGACTGAGGAGAAAGTGGGTGAGCCAGGAGAGCAGGTCTGCCCTAACTTGACGGGACTCAANCTGTTGGTAGCCTTCTTAGTGTGCCTGGTGCTGCTGGCACTGCTGTTCTTACTGCGACGCCATGGCTTGTTTCTTATTGGCTGGAATGAGTTTGTTCAGCAGCCCATCTACAACCTGCTAATGGGTGACACCAAGGAGCAGCGCATCCTGCGTTACGTGCTGCAGCATGCGGTAGCCGGGGACCCACAGAGTGTGCTGGAGACTATCGATGCCTACTGCTCACAGAAGGAGTGGGCCATGAACGTGGGCGACAAGAAAGGTAGGCAGCCTGGCCAGCAGGTAGTGGATACAGGAATGGGGACCCCAGGCCAGGCAGGACAGCCCATACAGGAGGGGCCTGTAATCACCCTGTTTCTGGGTATTGGGGTGGGGGGGCGCATCTGGAGCCTTGGGGCCCAAGCCACCTGCCCAGCCAGGGACAAAGCTGTGCAGAGACCCTAACACCCACATCAACTGTCCCCATGGGGAGGGAGGGACATTTGATAAACCGCCCAGGCGGCCACTATTTAGTGTCTTCTCCTTTCCACAGACTAACAGCCAATATTAGAGGGGACAGCAGTGGCTCCATGCAGGCCCCGTACTCACACGCTGTCCCTCAGAGCCGGGGGCTGGTGCAGGGTGGCAGTGGGTTCCTGGGTGTCCCTGCCTGGCATGAGGGTGCAAAGGGCTCCGTGGACTCTGCCCAGTTTAGGCTTCCTGACCTTTGAACTCCAGCATGGGGCAAAGGCATGTGCTGTGCTACATGCCCTGAAGTCCAGCCCTGAGGACAAACATGACAGCCACTGTCCAGTCCCCTCAGAGACCTTCACAGTGTTCAGCTCCAGGGAGCCAGGCAGGCCCTGAGTGTGGCCCATGGGTAGGGAGGGGTGAGGGCTTCCACAGAGGGCAGCTCTGGGTTAGGACCAGTAGGAGTCAGCCAGGGACATGGAAAGAGAGGGACCAATTTGTGGAAAGGCACGGAGGCCTAAGGTACCAGGGGAGCTTAGGTGGTTTGTACAGTGGGACCATGGCCTTAGGGGAGGGCTGGGGGCCAGGCATTGGGAAGGGCTGTTGCTTAGTCAGAAGGAACAGACCCAGGACTGGGAGTGGGTCTCCTGCCTGCATCACCCTCTCCTTCCATCCCCTGAAGGCCAGATCGTGGACACCATGGTGCGGGAGCAGCGCCCCTCCCTACTGCTGGAGCTGGGGGCTTACTGTGGCTACTCAGCCATACGGATGGCCCGCTTGCTGCCGCCTGGTGCCCGCCTGCTCACAATCGAGCTCAATCCCGACTATGCTGCCATCACCCAGCAGATGCTGGACTTCACAGGCCTGCAGGACAGGGTGCGACACTTCCCCCAGTGACGGATGTAGACACTGATGGGCCAGGGGTG